GTGTTGGGTCAGGGGTCAGTGTTGGGTCAGGGATCGGTGCCTGGGTCAGGGGTCAGTGCCTGGGTCAGGGGTCAGTGCCTGGGTCAGGGGTCAGTTTGGGTCAGGGGTCAGTGCCTGGGTCACGGGTCAGTGTTGGGTCAGGGGTCAGTGCCTGCCTGGAGCAGTCCGGGGCTCAGCCCCGCAGGTCCTGGCAGGTTTAACCCGGGCTGTGCCTCGCAGGGGAGTTCGTTGCACAGTTCAAGTTCACGGTGCTGCTGATGCCCAACGGGCCCATGCGGATAACGAGCGGCCCCTTCGAGCCCGAGCTCTACAAGTCCGACTTCGAGGTGCAGGACGGAGAACTGAAGGTTGGTTGGATCCTAAATGTGATTAATATTGATAATTGCAAGTATTAATATATCAATTAAATGTATTTATAAAATTGTGTAAGCAGTATGTATGTACAGTATATATAACACGTGTGTTTATCCAGAAGTACCACCCTGTCCCTGCATCCCGGGGCAGGGAAGGTGGAAATTAAAGTCCAGGAGCCTCTGCTGAGGTTTGTGCTGTGAATTTGGCAAGATTTGGTTAAGCCCAGATTGGGCCCCTTTCCTTCATCAAGCTCCTGCTCTCGTGGCTTGATAAGGACTCCCAGCCCTTTCCAGGAAGGATTTAGGGAATCACACCTTGGAATTCCCCATCCATCCTGTGCCCCCGAGGATTTCCCTGCTGTTCCCCTCTAATGGTGTTCCCCATCCTCCTGACTGAAAAAGGAGTAGTTTTCCAGCTCCTCACATTTCCTTCCTGTCTCCAGGCCCTTCTACAGAGCTCTGCAAGCCGGAAGACCCAGAAAAAGAAGAAAAAGAAGGTAATTTGTCCATTCCTTGTGGGAATTTGTCCATTCCCTTGTGTAAACTTGTGGCTCAGCAGCACCCGGATGCTCCCAAGTCCTGTGTTTCGGGTTCATTTTGGTGTTTTCCCACCTCAGGAAGCAGCAGCTCCGTGGGATGGGGCTTCTCCAGGGCCCCCAGGGTGGGCTGTGGCCGTGTGGGACCCCCCAGCTCTGACGTGTTCCCGGTTTCCCCACAGGCTTCCAAGAATGCAGAAAATGCCACCACGGGAGAGACGGCGGAGGAGAACGAGGCTGGCGACTGAGAGCCCCCAAATCACTCAAATGGCCCCTTTTCCCCCCCAAAAAATCCAACCAGAAGCAAAATAATCTGGCACTGTTGGTCCCCTCAGGACCAGACAGTCTGGACTTCCCACTGACTCCAAGCAGCTCCCGCTGACTTTGCCAAGCAGGGAGGAATCTCTCGGCCACTTCAGACAACTGAAAAAAGAGCAGAAAAAATAAAATTAGGAGTAAAAGTCACTATCAAATCTTTAACCTTTTATATTTCCCACGTTTGAAGAGGGGAATTAATCCCAATCCAGCGAGAGGGAGTGTAGGGAGCCACCTGCTTCCTTCCTCCTCCTTCTTCTTCTCCTCTTCCTCCTCATCCTCCTTTTATATTTTTTAATTTTCCCCTTTACAAATTTTAATGGAGGACAAAAAAACCCCACCCAAAACCAGCTAATTACACCCAGAAAAGTGCCCTGTGTGAGTGATCTGGGACACGGCGCCAGAGGATTTATCTTTCCCCTCTGGGATTTATATTTATAATTGGGAAAAACGGCAAATTTGAGGTCCCCTGGGAGAGTGGTCTGGCTGCTCCGTTTTTGTCTCTGCCTTCATTTAAGGGATAAACTCGCTATTTTTTAACACAAACTCGTTTTTAAATTGTCCAAGTCCTCGGAAGCCGCCGACATTCCGGCCCTGCGGAGGGGCAGGCGAGTCCAATTCCCTGTGTCCCCCGGGAGCACATTCCACCTTTCCCGCCTGTCACCTCGGGCCAGAGGATTTCTCACCCTTCCCTCTGGATTATCCCTTTGTAATTGGGGAAAAAAAATCCCAGCTGTTCCTCAGGTGACGGGTGAGGGAAGCGCTGCCGGAGCCGCCGGAGTCGGGGCCGAGCCCGGCCAGGGGTATCGCTCTTTTGTAGTCACTTTTATAAAAAAAACAAAAAAAAAAAAAAGAAAAAAAGCCACCTGATGCCATGAGTTGAATGTGAGGTTTTTTTCTTTGCCGATACCTCTGGTTCTCCCCCCCCCCCACCCCCCCGAC